GCGTTATTGTATTTCTTTTTAAGGGTTTTAACACTTGTGGACAAAAAATCACAACTTCAAACAATATGCAAAGTGCACATAAGCCTCCTACCCCTTAGGCTATTTCCCATATTTCTCATTTGCACCAAATCCAATTGATTTTATCCATGAGTATATGACGCGCCTCATCAACACTAAGTGTTGAATTTCACCGTTTGTTTTCTATTCCTAAAGTATTTGTCTTCGAGGCAAAACCGCCACATTACTCTAAAGATAGTTACCATACAGATAATGTACATAAATATCAACTGGACACGCTCCATTACCAGACACCTCAAGTCTGACAGTAGTAAAAGAAAAAGATGATTCACGTTGATGTTGCTACGTCGAAACGAAAATAACGAAAACTACTTAAATAGCCTGAGAACAATTCCGCAAAACGGGATTTTTCCGCAAACGGCAACAGTACGGGGTAACATCGCGTGCCATAAAGTGCTAATGATGAGGGGAACACAACCTTCTCTCACCCTACATACCCCCTTCGCGGCGCGGCGCGACGAAACCGATCCTTGTCAAGGATTCCCTGAAAGAAAACTGACCTGCCTCAAGTGCGTATGCCGGCGTGAAGTGCGTGATGCGTGTAATGCCCCGTGTCACAAGGGGCTGTGATGATGCACATTTAATTCATCCGTCTCCTTTTTGTTGCCACCCTGTAAGGTTCTCCCGTGTCAAAGAAGGAATTAGGCTCGACGAAGCATAATTTTCAAAAGTAAAATTAATTGCGAAAAAGTAGCTGCTCAATATAATAAATAGGTTGTGAACATTAAAAAAATAAAGTTCCCCCATTAGCATTTTTGTGACGATAAATTCGACATCATTAGCCAGTCGCGAAATTTGAAATTGGGCTATGAAGTAATTTCGAAGTAAAAAGTTTCTGCTTACAGCGGAATTAAATTTCACGAATAGTTTTCTGAATATTGTCTCAAAATGACCATTCATCATCACTAAACTTTTAAGATATTCTGATACGTAGGATGAGATGACGAAACCCTCTAACCCTCTGGTTCTTATGTCATTGTGACCTTGTGTGTGTTTATGTGTAATTATTAGGTCTTATTTGTGTGTGTTTTTTTGTGTGATAGTTTATTTGCAAAACGCATTGGGAGGACGTATAGTCAGTGACCTAAATAAAGTTCTGCCCTGTCACACGTTACCGTATGAAGCTTAGGGACTATAAATGCCTACGCAAAACAAAATTTCTTTCTTTAAAGCTCTCCCCGCCTCGACATTTTTTGGTTTTATTTACACGTGGTATAAACGCCAAACGCTGAGACCACAAACATAATTTAACGATGACTGAACTTGAAAAATGCGGATCTCTGATTGCGGCGTAGCAAGTATCCGCTTCAAAGAAAAATTCAACGTTTTTTCTTCAAATTTTGTGTGAATTTTCTATGCTCACTACAGAAGACCCAGAGGCAATTTCAAGGAGGTATTATGCGCAGTTTCCTTTTCGACCGATAAAATGGATCCCATTTGGCAAAAATAAGGAACCAGCGCGATCACAGTATTTTCAAAATCGTCCAACTTCTTCTTGTCTTTTAAAAGTACTTCAAATATGAACATTTTTCAAACGTGGACAATAACTTTTCTTTAAAATTAATAATTTTTTGGTGGGAAGAAAAAACTGTTTGCTAATCTGAAATTTTTTTTAGATAGTAATGAAGAAGCAGCATTTTTACAACACTGTAATCATGCTGGTTTCTTGTTGCTAAATGCGATCCAAATATAATAAAATAGTGTGAGATGTTGTGATGGACTTACGCATTTTTTCGACCCTAGCCATTAATGAACTGAAATCATTGACTCGAGATTAAAGTGATGGAAATTTTAAATTTTTTAGTTAAGTTACGTCGGTCGTATTTAAAATCTTCTTACTGCTGGCCCACCTTTTCTGGCTTGTCTCATTTATCAAGAAGGAAAAGAAACGTGAAGCTTGACATCGTGGGCACATCGTGGCGGACGTTTAAGGAGAGGAGAGTTGAACTGACGACGAACTTCGAACGGTTTCTCATTTCCGACAGAGACGAATTAAAGAAAGTAGAATACTTAAGACACTGAGGGGTTCATCACCGATAGGTATTTCATAGCCGGAAACTTTTAACTTGGAAAAGTTCTTAACTCTCTCTTCATTTGACCTACAACAGTTTGAGAGTCACAATATTGTTCCTTTTTAACTAATATATTCGTGAACAGAGTGAAACGTGGATTCCGTTGTGGAGAAATTTTCTTCCAGAGGGTCTATTTTCAGGTGTTATAAAGTTTGTCTTGAATATCAGTGATCTGATCATTAATAAATTAAGTAGGTAATCAATTCACAATTGAGATGCGAAAAGGGCACTTCTCGGTTGCAGTGCTTTGAAATTAAAGTCACGGTGGAACTTTTGCATGTAATTTTCATTTTGAACACCTACTCGTTTCAGCAGTCCTCATAAGATGCCATGTATTTTGTTCTTTACCACCGGTTTCTAACCTCTTTCTGCGCTAGAAGGTATGGGTGGGTGGTATTGCCGTATGCCAGAGGAGCGACGAACTTTGAGAGCTCATTTTTTTGAGCTTGAAGTTCGTTTCTGAGAAAAAAAGTGGCACCACCGTTTCCTCGCGAAATTTTACTGAAGTTAATGTACTTAAATTGCAAATTTCTAACGCATGCAAGCGCTCCATTGCGGCTGAAAGCTGGAGTATTTTCTGCCAAGTATGTAAGTTGTGAGAGCAAGGTGGACCTCCGAAACCTTGGCGCAGTTACGATACACGGCATTCGTGATGCCGGTGTCCGAATATCGTGGACACGAATTCTATTTGAATAATATGCTAATTAACTCGCCGACATTTTTATGACTCTTCGTTCGGGATTCGGCCGTTAAGCACTTACGAGTAGTTAGGCCAAGCCGTGTTTGTGCTATTGAACTCTCAGAAATGTATTCTACCGACTGCTAATTTTGTGCACGTAGCCAGACGCTCTCTCATTTTCCTGGAGGGTCATGCGACGATATTTGCGACATTTCTTAGAAAAGGGGACTCATTTTACTGGATAGAGAATGTGTTAAGTTGAGTCAAGAATTAAAAACGCGAGTTTTCCACGGAAAACTGTCGATGGTATGCTAGCCATTAATTTATTTTTTGCCAAAGAGGGTGTTAAAGGTATTTTGAGCCATGAACAAATATTGAACAGATCGAGCTTCAAATAATTTTTCAAACGCACCTACTATGTTTCCCGTCGAAATTCATACCCGTCATCATTCTGGTCTTCTTGATTCTCCTTTTCATCTCAAGTCCTCGTCATCATTTCTTTTTGCGCCGGGCCGCTCCAGGCCGAATTACGTGTTCTGTTTCTCTCTTAACTCAACTAATTAAAGGTGCGCAATCTTTTGTATCACCGAAATACGACAAAATTAGAAATTAATGAACTCTCAAGCAATGAGAGATTTTGACACCTTTTCTTGTTTGTAATTTTTTTCTGAATCCGATTTTTTTGTACCTGTATTTAAAAAAATTGCAAAATTTGCCGCCCCCTAATTTTGCCGCCATGGGCCGGCCCATGTGGCCACCCCCTTAATCCGGCTCTGCTCTTTAAGGGGGCCCACACCACAGCCTACACCTATAGGCCCAAAAATTCTACATCTGGCCCGGAGGCACAATCGTTAAGATAGAACAAAGTCAATTGGAATATGTGGAGAAAAAGTAAAAATAGTTTGAAAGTGACCAAAACCAAATATTCTAAACTAGCACACGCAATTGCCACATTATACAAGGTGATCAAAAAATCTGGACCCCCTCCCCTCCTCCCGAGTAATTTTTGAACAGTTGCACTCAGAGATTTCAAATTTCGGGTAATTACAAATCAATAAGAGAACAATTTAGGAAATAGCTTCTCTCGTGAGGGTATTTATTGTGCCACTAATACGAGGATAATAAGCTCGTAAGATAAAATCTAATTCCTGTGAGTCGCGTTACCTCCTCTTTTCATCTCCCGACCTTGCTTCTTTTAGAACACTGCAAAGACTCATTACACCAAATTACAAGGCGGGCGAAGCTCAATGGCCCGGAGATTCGCCGAGCGTCTCGTCGCTCGACCGCGCAAAAGAAGATATCCGTAACGCTCCAGCGGCCCCGATACCGATCAGCGCTCCGATGTATGTGAAAACATAACATAATTTCAGGGCTCTTTCATAACTTTCAAATTCCATGACATCTCGACGTGCGGGGACTATTAAACGTATCGATCCCACATCGGAGTCCCTAAACGGACCCCTGATCACCCCCGCAGAATCAGGCAACTCTACGTCGAAAAAGCTCACATTCACACTAAGTTTTCATCGACTTATGTTGTTTCCGGTCCACGGAGGTGGGTGGGCAAGTGGAAGATTCGATCAACCGCCCTTCTCGGGGAAGGGGGAGGGGGAGACTCCGGCACCCCCCCCCCTTATTGAGCGCAGTGACCGGGAAATAGAGGTCGATGGAGTTGAAACGAAATTGTAGTGATGGCAGATCTGGCGGGTGAAATGAATCGTGACATTGCAAGTCGCACTCATGTTGATGTTGAGTCGGCTGAACATGAAACGTGGAGAGCCCCTCAAAATTAGGAGTGCCATCGATGACCGTTTCTTTGTCTCGGCGAAACTGTTCGATTGCTCTTTCACCATCAAACTAGATGCAATTCCTCAGGAATGAACAGCATCTCGTGAGATGCCTTCGTAGTGTTGCATTTGCTCTAGATGAATTTTATGGCCAAATTCTGAGAACACGTAACTCAATCTCAGCATTTTAAAATCTCCGTGCCCCTCCTTTTTTTCTAAAAAAATACTAACGAATGTGTGGATATGGCAATTTTTGTTTGGCAATATTACGGATGGCAAACAACCCTGTACCCACTGTAAATTAAATTTTAATAAAAACAAGTATACTTACTTTAATATTGTATATTCTATCTTTCTCGGAGATAAGGATGGCTTTTTCTAATATTTCTTGATCCACATTTTTATTCAATATTTTCCATAAGCATTTATTTATTAATCATGAGTCTTTGCACAAAAAAATGTTTCGAAGGGTCCAATGCATAGACACATGCGCCCATTTCTTCTCAATAAAGTTAAAATTATATTATGTCATGCATACACGCATATTTTATATAAAAATAGTTATAAAATACATTGCCACCAAAAGCTTTAATAAATAGATAATACAGGAATTTAAGAATGAAACTTTTTGTACGAGGGTGAAATTATCCACAAAGGCTGAGCGCACTGATGTTTGGAAAGTTCAATGATGAAAAGGCAGCACAACCTTAATAATTATTATTTGTATGTTTATGTGGACCTTTGACGGTGTATATTCATACAAATAAAGCTGCATGAAGATGATTCGTCAAAACATCGTGATTTTTTCCTGAGCGCAATAACTTTCAATGTGCGTTTATTATACATACTTATTCCCTATGAAATTGTCCAAACCATTTATCGAAATGCATTCAATTCTTAAGATTCTATATAGTTGTATATATCATTAAAATGCACCTCAGGTAAAACATTCATTCATTACTATGTTAAGCCTACATTATAGAACTGGACGCCGTAATATGTTAAGTTCAGTTCAGCTATCGTTTTCTTCAGCGGAAAGAAGAATCGCTTCAAAGAGTATCTAGAAAAAATACAAATTAAATTAAATTAATAGACATGGCATGGAAAACTAATTTTCGCGGATTCCGTCGCAATAGCCAGCAGACACCAACAATAAATTGTGAAAAAGAGAAATTCGTATACATTAATCTATTTTTGACTAGTGTCTTCATTCGAGTGCACTGAGATAAAGAACTCGTTGAAAAAAAATTGTCTCCGATTCAAAGGAAATGTTTGTGAGGTAAATAGTTTTTCTTTTCATTAAAAAAAAATAAATAAAAAAAAATAATAATTTCGTGAAATATTGTTGTTTTCACTTGAAATAATTTTAATTTTTTTCAAAGAAAACATTTTTTTATAGATGACAGAGTTACACATTTCTTTGAATAAAAGACGATTCTATTTGAATTAATACGAACATTTCCATTTAAAAAATTTTTTAATTGAGGAAAATTCCTCACCTCAAAAACTTGTCTCCAATCAAAGAAAAGTTCTCTCTAAATTGAAGGAAATGTCTGTAATTATTTGTTCAATATGAGTACCCATCATCCAATAGTTTGTGCGTAGGTACCAATAGGTTACGCATTCTTCGTTGACCGTGTCGAATCGAGGTTTGTGGAGCGAGATACATACCTGTGTGTTTTCCGAAAATACCACTATTCTTGCTCCTCGGTTTGTTTTTGCCTATGTGGCGAAATTGAAAGCAAACCTCAAATTGATGGTTGGATGGTATGGAAAAGCCAATAGGTTTATGCGCATTCTTTAATTGCTTGTTTGGAAGTTCACGGAGAGAGATGTATGTGTACTTTTTTAATAGATGACTGCCTATCCGTAATCCCTGGTATGTTTGTTGTTTGATATAAGAGGAATATGAAATCCCTTTCCACCACCTCTTTAATATAACGATTGGATTTTTTCAATAATTAGAGCACACAATTATATACTAATTCTTTACTCACAAAAGTGGGACACTCACCTTCCTTGAAAACATATCTCCACTGGTAAAATGTCCTTTTGTGAAAACACGAAAGTTATGTATCTGTGAGGCGCTGAAAGTACGAGAGAAAGTATAGAATATCAATAGTTTTTCCATGGTTTGGTCCATGGCATAGCTAAAAACGTTTTCTGNGGGGGGGGGGGGGGAGAAGGAAGCATGTATGGATAAAAATTATTGATGAAAAAGGGATCAACAAATTTCCAAGGGTTTCAGCAAATAATGAAGTGTTGCCAACAGGCACGCGTTGTTAACTTTAGAAACACTCAACACGATAGAGTTTCAATTCTTACATTGCTTGGAGAAGTCAATGAGCGTGTATGTCGAACTTTAAAAGCTGCTGCGCTCCTCCGCCTCTTTTTCATCCATTAAAACTTCAATTTAAACTTCACTTTTTTCACTATTCCATCTCGTGATACGAATGCCTATTTTACGCAGTTTAGATTCGAAGTTACACGCCGCCGAGTTTCAAGTAAGGAAAAATTAACCAAACTTACGAGTTAGGACATTTTTCCTTTTATGTAGAACTATAGGTAGTGTAGGTAGCTCCATTCAAAGTTGATCGTGACGTTTGAGAAAAATTAGGAAAATTTCAATTTTTCCAAAGCGCCCAGTTTACAGCAATTGGACCTAATTTTGCAAGAAGGAACCAATATTCCTGACTCATCCATAATAGTCCCTATCTGCAATGTGAAACCAATGGCACGTACATAATTGTTTCTGAAATGCAGTCCAGAAAAAGTAGTTCATAATAGCAAAATGCAGCCAAATTTTCCCAAGTATTTCCATATTAATTTGAGGAATTATAGTAAGGTCATCAATGTCATATCTGTTGCCACTAACCAACGGATAAAGGCGTAGGTAGTAGATAATCAGCAAGCGTTATGCCTGTGTCTGTCTTGTTCTTCAGAATATTGCAGGAAGCGTAATGGAGTATTGGGCTCAATATAGGTGCTTCTGGAGCCGGTGCATCAGGATCTGGGAGGAAATGGTCAAAACACATCAAACCATTAACACAGGAGCACCTTCAGATCCATCAGATGAACCGATCTTTATTGTAAACTTTCCTCCTACTGCTGACTTTCATCCAATGTTTTTTTATAAAAGTTGACAAAACGATGCGATAAGAGGGTATATTTTCTTCTAAACTATATTTCTCATTTCATCCGAACACTGTTTTCTCCGAATACTCGTAGGTTCTCTAATGGTTGGCTAATAAGACTTACAGAAGTGAACTGCGATATCTCAGATGGAAGTGTTCACAAGCTAGAGAACTGAGGGACTAAATAAACATGTTTTCTGACGAAAAATGCGGTAAAAAGAAAAAAATGTTGAAAGGCTGCCAAAGAAGATGCTTGATTGGGTTTCTCGTGGGAGGAGACGAGGGGGACGCCCAATGAAAGGGTGGCGACTGGGAGTTTCAGAGGAAATAAGGGAGTGTCAACTCCCTGAGAGGCTCGCTGGGAGGACAGGGGACTTTGGCGGCTAGGTGTCGCAGAGCGCCAGAGAGCGCTGTGGAAGCAACTTCTAAAAGTATGGTGCAATGACTGATTTCTGACCCTGGCACACTTTTTGGCGAATGCAATCAAAATCCTGATAGCATTTACATGGTTTCCCTACAATAACAAGTATACTTGTGTGATTATACTTATCATAATTTTTTCTCCTAGATATGTATATTTTAGTAAAAGTACCCACCAAACATAAATAAAGCGTAATAATCAATTTTAGGATCCGGTATGAAATAAAAATTGGGTTTGTCTAAAACTTCTAAGAGTGAGGGATTTGGTTCCATCCCGCATCGAGCTGCATATGTAAGATAGTCCACCTAAAAGAAAAAATACAACATTTCATACAACGTGACATCTTGCACATATATGCCGAAACTTATACTGGGCAAGCAAGGCAGTTGTCGAGGAGCGGCAAATTTTGGAAGGAGGAGAGGAGAAAATCATATACTTGATATCTTGAGAATTTTTTTCCAATTTTTTAAAACAGTTACCTACGTAGGTAAAATTTGACAAAAAATAGGTCTATGTTGCTCGAGGGCACGAGTGTGCAAAGGGGGCACTTTTTTGACCATTTCACGGGAAAGTCCCCCAAAACGCTCTTTAATCCGTAATTTTTCTCAGAATAATTCACGGTGTCGGCAAAGTTCTCGTCACCTCGGAGCGGCAAAATGAAAATCTAGGCACGTCCACACGCTGAGTTCATTTAAGTCGGCGCTTTTATTGGTAAAAATATTTTGAGATCTAAAAGTAAGTTCAACTAACTTATTCGTTCGGAATACTTACGAATAATGCACCTGGTAGAGGTTCTGGAATGTATTTTGGTATGATACGGGAAGCAGTCAACTCATTAGATTTATTTACGCAAGACACCCCGCGCATTGTCTCAGTTTGAGCCTCGGCATAAGAGATAATCATCAGATAAAGTAGAATTATTATATTCAGCCTCATCGATATCTCTGATTTTCCACTCATGTATAGTAATTTCCTTTGTTTAATTATAAATTCTCGTTTCCTCTGTGAAGTTGAAAATGTGTCCAATTAGTGAATAATTATAACGTGATATAAGAAGAGAGACTGATTCAGGCATAGAAACCAATCAGAGCTACACAATAATGTTTTACAACATAGTTCATCCTCAGTATTTATAACCAAGCTTCCTTACTATCATCTTCATCTCATTCTGACTTTTTTTCGGGCGAGAACGAGGAATCACCCGGTGGCCTTTAAAAGGACACCTCTGTAAATCAAAGCTCCCAAGTTAGTTCTACAGCTTTTTCATTTATATTTGGTGATTAAAAAATCTCAATGAGAAATTTGCAAAACTCGTTAAAGATGATTTCAAATATTTTTTGTAAAAATTTCAGCTCGTATCGAATTTCACAATTTTTTCAGTTAAATGTGCCCAAACGAAATCTTCCAAATTTTAATAGTAAGCATCTTTTCACAGGTCGTATAAAAATTATGTTACAGTCATTGGATATTATTAGATGTAATTTGGAGTTAGCTTCGTTTTACAAATGGCAATTACATAGAAATTGCACTACATTCGATTCTAAACATGTTGCGCTCACCAAATTGACTTCTCAAGGGATAGGTTGCCCTACTGCGAGGTATTACAATTAAGTTATTAAGTAATTCCAACTAGAGATTGATAACGCTTCACTCGAACAACCGATATTTTTCCGCGTATATGAGAGTGATCAAAATTACAAGCCAAATTTAGTGAGCACATGAAAGCACTAGAAAGACCAGGAACACACTAAGTACTACCAGAGTGAATTAGTTCGCAATCTGGAGGTTATCGTGACGAGCAAGTAAAAACTGTGTGAGCAAGAACGTTAACAAGCGTTAAAGTCCACGCGACATGTCGTCGCACTTCTAATGTGAGGACCTATCTTCCTTTCCATGTGAGCCGCAGAAGACGACGAGCTACATGGAGAAGAGTGTGCACCTCTAACGCTCAAATTTCTACTTGGCTAGTGTTGTAACGCACTGCAAACGCTCCTTAATCAAGTTCTTGTTTTCCTCATGTATGTTCCTCTAAAGATTTGCTGGTGCCGTACCGTGGCATCTAGCAGATCCGCTTTGCAACTGGCATTAGCATGGAGTATGTAAATGGGAGTTTTGTATGTAGAAATAGTGCATTCATAGGTGGCTGCTATTTGTCATCAAGTTTTTCAAACCCGTGGCAAACATTTAACCGGCCAGGTTAAATATGACTGAAAACGGTGGTAGAACGGATGAGCGATAAACGCATGACCCCTGGTTTAGGATTAAGCAGATTTGACCACAGGTGATGGAACCGATCTAAAAGATGAAATCACATTGTAATCTTTTGATAATCACCCATAATCAATCGCCCAAAAATTTAGAATATTCGGTTTCAATCCAAGTGCGAAACGGTCAACATCTATATTGATGTTGTGCGATGCGTAAGACTTGCATGTCTTACTCTTTGACGTGTTCCGAATATCCCATGAGTATCATGGAAAATTTGGAACAATCGTGTTGATTGATTCCTCGTATCGTTAAAAAATTGAGGTTGCGGAAAGTTAGTAAGTCTCTCCAACCGATGCCAATTAATCATACCCCATTAGTTATGACGATTGCCAGGAAAATTGTCCATGCTGGGGCACCCTTACCCTTTTTATGGCCCTACAATGCTGCATTTGAGTAACAGTCATGGGCTGTTGAGTTCTTGCTACTTTGAAGACTCTGCATCTGAATTTTAGAGGATCCGACAACATTCATTTCAACGAGAGGCATGGCAACGTTTCTGTAAATTTTTAAGCGATTTTATTTACTCGGGTTTATTAGGATGGAATTACTTTATGTGTGCTTGTTTTGGGAATGAGGGGGTCATAAATTTTGCCGGAAACAGCTAAAATCCTCGCTACGGAGTGGTCTAACGAAAACTGATGTTTAAAAGCCTTGCAGGAGACAGAAGATTGGGATTGCGAAAACTGATCTGTTGTGTGATGAGTTTTATTCACGATGGGCACTGGTAAAAATCGAAAAAAAATTTTATTAAATGAAAAAATATTGAAAGCCAATGATTTCAACCTTTAATAATTATTGTAGCCTTTTGCTGATGTGAGATCAGCTATTTATGTTTTTTTTTACCGTCCAATGTTAATATTTATCTTCCGAATAAGATCATCGCTAAAATTATACCTACATGGCCATTAATTAGAAGATTTTTACCCCATTTTAAGATTATTATCGATTTTCCTTTAATCATTTTAATCCAATCTTTTTAATCCATCTTTTTCCAAACATGAGTCAAATAAAATTATCAATAATGAATCTTAGAGGAAAAAACTGCTAGTATGCCTGCGCAAGATTCTGACCTGCAGATCTCTATTATGTCTATCTATTTTGTTTAAGGTATTAGGAAATCAGGAGTCAATACAGAATCGTTGAAGAATTCTGGAGAGGTTAAATTGCTTTTACCAAAATGGTAGATTTTTTTCCTTTATTATGACGACAGTAGAATTTTATGCATTAGGATTTTCCATACAGCAATGCATGATTTATTATCCCATAGTTTTTGAGGAAAATGTCTTGTTAAGCTGAAAAAATTAAATCCGTAGAAATTGTTGTAAGTTGATTATTGAGATTTGCACTTTAGATAGCTTGATCCTCATTGTTAAGTTCTAGCCGAAAAGTCTGAATTCTTAAAGGACTTTTCAAATGTTCATTCACATCGATTATTCTAACCCGTGTTAACTTGTGTTTTTTTTCTTGTTTGTTTTCGACAGGTGGTGATCGTGGGAAACGGAGCAGTAGGCAAATCAAGTATGATTCAGAGGTACTGCAAAGGCACCTTCACCAAAGATTACAAAAAGACCATAGGAGTAGACTTTCTAGAGAGGCAGATAGAGTAAGTGTTCATATATTTTTGGTCATTAAATGGTTCTAATTGTCACTTTATTTACTAAAATAGCTTAAAAAAATGCTTAAACGAGCTTAATCGAGAAAATTTGTAATGAATGCGGATAAATCGGGATTTAAATGGAGAATTGTGGTCAAAACAGGGATGAATAGAGATTATTCGGAATAATACGGGCAATTGGTATATATTTCTAAAGGCAGTTTCATATCGACGGTAAAACTCCCAAACCCCAACCACGTATCTCATTTGCGGTATTTTTAACATTTGCACTGCCATTTTATTTTTTTGAAGGAGAACAAATCAACACTATCCCGCGAATTTTCACATAATTTTCCTCACACTGAGAATAAAAATCACGGAAGTTCTAAAGAATTAATATTATGGGCAATTTTTCATTTAAAAAGGAAATATGACTGCCAGTCTGCAACGTCGCAAACCGAGATACGTGGTTTGGAATTTGGCCGTTGATAAGTTCAACGCATAGTAACTTCTGCGGCAGGCTGTACTTTTTTCGTTCACCCCGTCCGTAAAATGAAGACTCATGATTGGAAAAATGCAGGCAACTACCCTGACATCCCGAGCCGATTCAGGCTATTTTAACCGTTTGGTCAGCCGATAAAGGCCAACAACGCTGACCTCTCCTCATGGAATGAACGTAATGTAGGAGGAATCTAAATTACGCTCAGCTCGTAAAACTCGGATAAAAAGTGAAAACAGCGCATAGGAACAGAGCCGGCTCACGTTCTCAAGATCGCAAGCAAAAAAACACCCGGCACCTAGCTTCGCTGTGGGTCGTAAATTGTATAATTGTTTGAATTTCCTCGGTGTCTCGGCACTCCGCGCCAATAGACGATTCTTCGTCGCCCCTAAGACGTAAGGGCGTATCTCAATTTCAATGTGAGCCTCGTTTCACTTGTAAATCCATACTCTCTGGGGCTCATGCGGCTATCCAGATACGTCCTTACGTCAAATAAGCCACGTCTTCTCCGGACCGACCTCGCTGGATGGACTAAATCCCTTCGCCCTCTCTGCTCATCAGAGCCAAACATGTTGCCAATTTTTCAAGAGAAACTTCTGTTTTCTCAGTGAGGAAACTAGAAGAATGGAACTCGTCCATGCCAGAGGGATTTTCGATTTCGGTACTAGTTTCATATGTAAAATTTCGCCAGAAAATCCATGGCGCCACTATGATTTTCTCAGCAACAAACTCCTAGGCTCAAGATCTCCTAAGTTCTGGTGAGAGCAGTCTACTATTAGCGTTACTTGGGGGAGGGGGTTTTTGTTCTCCTTAACTTTAACCTTTTTTTGATGATTTATTTGCTTATATTCCAATTCGGAACCTACAGCCAGAGATTTTATTTGGTGTCCGTAGACATCATCGCGGAGTTGCTACATCCTTGCTCAATGCTTTTAAATTTTCAGGGATTACGGCCGAGTAGAATCTGTTGCTAGCAGAGCCCCTCTTTAGTTCCATGAAAATTTGACTCCACGGCCGGGATTCGAACCCGGACCACAATATTAAAATTTCATCATTGAATTCTAAAATATGTGCCGTTATTCTTCCTGTTAGTTCATCGGAAAATGTCATCATACTTACCCCACGTATCCAATTGCCGCTCCATTCATTGATCCAGGAAGGTGGAGGGGAGCAGCAGCGCCTAACTGTCCATTTGCGAGGGCGACAACTGAACTTATAAATGCCGAAAACAACGTGTACATGACTAAAACCAAAAGGAACATAATGTACAGTTCGCAAACCCTTTGCATACATAGTTTCTTTTAACTCAATGGGCCTGTTGCAAACTTTTGCTAGAGCAGAATGAAGAATTGTTTCTTATAGATAATGCCTCAAAAATCACGATGAGCGCATCGGCAAAGTCTGAAATGCACTCATAAATTCACAATCTGCGTAAGAAAATTGCGTTATTTTGAGCTTCCCGCTTCAAAAACGATACCACTGCACAGGTGAACATTTTGTCAGAGGAGTCGCTCCATCGTCGGCAATATTCATCATGGCCGACGCTTGCGCAGTTCCTCGCGTAATTCGAGGAGAGTTCAAGGTCAATTAAGGCGGGCGAGGAAAATATGAACGTAAACACGCCGATTGTTATGTGGTTTAATCCTGTTCAGGTGTTATCTCGTCCCATCACACGTGTTTTGGCGGACTGGCGTCGGCCATGATGAGTATTGCCGCCAATGGAACGACTCCTCTAACAAAATGTTCACCTGTACCGTAGTATCGTTTTCGAAGCGGGAAGCTCAAAAAACCGCAAATTTCTTACGCAGATTGTGAAGTTATGAGTGAATTTCAGACTTTGCCGATGCGCTCATCGTGATTTTTAGGGCATTATCTGTAAGAAACAACTCTTAGTTTTGCTCTAGCAAAAGTTTGCAACAGGCCCATTAGTTTTCGCACAGGTTTTTTTTTTTTTTTTTTTGGCAAAACTACGCCCGAGCAAATTATCCTCTGTTCGTATCGTGGTGCTAAATGCCTTATCTTGTTTATATCTAGTGGTCAATTTCAATTTTGTAATAGTCTCGGTTAGCTTTGGAGGTGGAGTGACACTGCACGCGGCGCCGCACAGTTGACCGAGTCAACGGTAGAGGTCGATCATATAGTTTACTTTTTCCAATTTTGATGGCTTTTCGTCACATTTCACATTTCAAGAGGTGCTTTTGGAAGCAAATTTTTCGAGGAAACCAATGGGCCACTTTCAAAACTTCAAAGTCTTGTTTTAAAGCACTTTCAAGCTTTGTAAGTTTCCTCATTTTGTCCGACTTCCCCTATTGACTCCTTCCACTGGGCACCGCACAGTGGATCGAGTCAATCTAAAAGGTTGGACATGAAATTGTTGTCCAAAACTGCAAATTTTTATGTTTAATTTGTCACATTTTAAATTTTAAGGGGCACATTAGGAAGATAATTCTAGGGGGAAACCAATAAAGTCACTTTTAAAATCTTAAAGTTCTGTATGAACGGAGTTTTGAGCTTTTGAAGTTTTCAAATCTTGTCCGACCTTTTCTCACTCAACCCAGTGTGCGCCGCCGGTGGGAGCTGGAAGGCGTTGGACACTCGTCCAGTTCCCGCGGAACAAGTGTGTCAAGCGGCGAGTGGGGCTTCTGGTATGCGTCGTGTCGTCCGCGACCGGAGACAGACGGGCAGAATTTATCGGTGGCGAATAAATTGATCAAAAAGGAAAGCTGGAGCCCACTGACTCGATGCAGCCTTACGATCGGCTGCCTACGTCTCGGACTCGCAACAATAATCCGACTCCCTTTCTTTTGAAACCAGTCGCGACCACTCAGGGCGTCACAGCTGACAACCTAACTGAAACAGGGCGTCTCTTAGTTTTTTGCCTCAGCTTCAGCGCAGGAGACCCAATCTTCGCATGTTTCCTCCGTTCATTGATAAATTTGTCCCTGCAGGGCCGTCGCACAGTGGATGGAGTCAGTAGGAGAGGTCGGACAAAATTTGGAAACTTTAAACGCGTATAACTCCGTTCATACAAAACTTTGAAATCTAAAAGTGGCCTCATTGGTTTCCTCGTAAAATTTCCTTCCTCTAGCATCCCTTGAAATTCAAAATGTAATGAAATAAACATCAAAATTTGCAGTTTTAGTCAACAATTTCATGTCCGACCTCTCTAATTTAATCGATCCACTATGCGGCGCGAGGATAGATAGGTAGTCATTCAGAGGCGGATCCAGCAATTTGGCAACGCCGGATTCTCTCTGTTTAAACCTGTGTTAAATAATCGATTCTTGTCAGAGCACCAGGCCCCTCCAAGAATCGATACATTTCCATAGGTTTAGATTGAGAAAACAATGTTGCCAATGGACCACTAGACAAGGTACGAATTTCAGCATTCTGATACATGTTTCTTCACCAAAATTTCACGTAAAACACGATGCGCACAACGAAAATAACCGAGATCAACTCCTTTCGAAGATATTTAATGATTCTTGGTGGGTGAATTCAAACCACCCGCTCATGAAAACTCAATGCTCTACGAGATTCACATCGCGCGCTAAACGTATTATCATGAACGTCTCTGCGATAAAAAAATCAGGCAACCTCAACCTTGACGCTTTGGCTCAGCTATAGCAAATTAATTACAGTTTGTAAAACACATAGAGGGAAATGAACATTGCTCGATTGAGGAGCTTGCTGAAACCGCTGTAGTGCGCGATTTGACCCACGTATAAGAGCTTTGAGTTTCTTGTGAGCGGGCAGTTCAAATTCCTCGTAACTAATGTGAAATAAAAATGTTAATATCTCCGTTAGGAGTTGATTTCAGTAATTGTCGTCGCGCAAATCGTGTTCTACGTGAAATTCTGGTTAAGAAACATGTATCAGAATGCTTAAATTCGCACCTTGTCTAGTGTTCCATTTGCTTGATCCGCCAATGCAGTCATTCAACAGGAATTTTGGCCCCTCCCATCCCAACCCCTTGCATCAAAATCCAAGCAAGGAAATATTGAAGAAGATATTTAGCGTATGCCTTTTCCTTAATCGAGGTCTTAAAATGTGACCGTTTAAGCGGATACTATGTTCGGAAGACAACATTTTACCAAACGTGAACACTTAAAAAAATAACCCATGAATTTCCCGACAAATAATTTTTAAAAAGTTGTTTCAAGTGTCAGAGAAAAGTGTTACCGTGGGCCGAAATAAGGGGAGGGGCGGCGGGTGGGGGACCTGGTCCCTCACAAATCTAATTAGCCCCTTTCAAGAATTGTAAGGGATTTGACCGAGCAATGGTAGGGCACATTTTTCATATTGGAAATCGGAATTGGATCAATTTTTCAGGGAGAACAACTCATAATTGCTCCTGAGACGACTCAATTGTTCAAAATTTCAGCCCCCCCCCCCCTA